ATTGCTCAAGCTGGATTTGAGCTTGCAATCCTCCTGCCTCACCTTCCCAGAATGCTGAAATTATAGGTGTGTGCCACCACATCCAACTCAGTCAATTTAGATTTTATGACTTGTTCATCACAACTCAAAATGCAGCTGCCCCCCTGTTGCTTTGGCACTTTCTTGTGGAGGAGGAGGGGTGCGCCAAGCCCCTCTACTTGGCTGTCATAGAATCCCACAGTATTTATTCAGTGCCTGTTTGATAGCAGAGGTGGTGTCCCTGTGCAGCCTCAGTCAGCAGGAGCCCAGCCTTATTCTCCATTGTCAGCCTGCACATTCTGTTTGCCCTTCTGTTTTTCCACCCTATGGCGTCATTCAGAATTTCCTGGACCATTGCCAAGGCAGGGTCTGTCACACCCTGAGCATGATGTCCTCGCACTCCCCGCGCTCACCCACTACATCCTGACTCACTTTCCACTTGGGTAGTAGAGGGCTTCGTGCAGAACTTCTACACCTGGGTTAAATCACATCCTTCTGCTGGGGCTCCTGCCTCGTTGGCACGGGCACCTGCATGTGAGCCCTCGCGTGCACTGCACCTTGGCCCTTCTGCTCAGGCTGCTGTCCCATCCTCTGTCTGCTAATCCCTGCCCACCTTCTGATACTCGGCTCACAAATCCTTCCTGAAAATCTTCCTCTCCTCTGTGTACCTCCCCGTAGCATCACACCACAGCCTTGTACCTCTTGAGCCTCCAGGATGGGTTATTAATAAATGTGATTCTTACATATAAATGGTCAGCTCAGCCCCGTCTCTGAGCAAAGTGCCTGGCACCTGAGAGCTATGTTAATGGACAAATGGAGTAATGAACAAGTGAATTCATTACCAATAGTTCCTGAGTCGGGTTCTTTCACTGGTGACAAAGATACGTAGTGATCAGGAAGTGACTTGTATTTGCAGCTATTTTTGCACTTAAAGCCCCCGCCCACCTCTCATGGTCTGGTACTGGGGATGGAGCCCAGGGCACTCTAGCGCTGACCTACTACAGCCCCAGTACTCTGCCCCTCTCCCACAGTACTGGGGACTGATCCCAGAACCTTCTCACTGGGCCACATCCTCCAGCCCTTTTTAAATTTTGAGTCAGGATCTCACTAAGTTGCCCAGACTGTGCTCAAACTTGTTATCCTCCAGCCTCAGCCACCCTTAGTGCTGGGATTACTGACATTTACCACCACACCTGGCTATTGTCCCTCTCCTCGTTTATTAAATGTCTGTAGTGAGTTCAGTGAAATTAACAGACCAAGATTTTTTTTTTAATTCAGTTTGTAGACTCAAGGGGCATAAATAAATCCAGGAAGAAGGGGGCATGAAGCTCAGGGTACTGATCTGACTGTAGGGCTTGTGTCAAGTCAGTTACTTGCTGTAACACCATAAAGAAGCTGCACAGATACTTAGTTAAGGGCTGGGGTAGCTCAGATTCTAGAGAGCTTTCCTAGTAAGCCTGAAGACCAGGGTTCCATCCCTTAGTTAAAGCCCTTTTTGATCTTGCAGATGCTTTAGTTTGTTACCTGACCCTCTCCCAGTTCCTGTTTGGGGAGCTGGATGCTGAGGTTGTTCTGTCTTGAGCCACTTTTGGGAGTCTTCACTGCCTAAGCAGCAGCCCCTTACCTTCTGATGGTGTAGTGAGAGCTCACAGGGGCTGCCATTCTATCTTGCAATTAACCTCAAAGTAAAATTTCCTATCCCATCTACTGAGAGAATGCCAAGTAGGGAAGTGGTTTAAAATAGCCCTGCTGGTTGGACTACTTTGAGCAAGCGTATTTATGAACAGGAAGGTCATGTGCCTTTTCCCCTGGATACATGGCCTCCCCTCCCACCCCTGCGTCCTCACCCCATATTGTAAGAATTGTCTTTAAGAGGTCTGGGGATTTAGCTCAGTGTCACCATGCCTTCCTCACAAGTGCAAGGTCCTGAGTTTGATTCCCGGTACTGAAAAAAAACAAACAAACAAAAAATGAATTTAAGAACCAGGAGCAGAAAGGACTTGGTCTGAAAGACACTATTCTAGTTGAGCAAAGTTTATCTCAAAGCTTACATACTGTCTGATTCCATTGAGATGACATTGTCAGAGTAAATAAATTACAGTGGTGGAGAAAAGATCAGTTTTTCCCAGTGGCCAAATTAGAGGCTAGGATGTTCCTGTACAGGGTAACATGATGGAACTCTCTCTTTTTTTTTTTTTTTCTTTTGCAATGGAATTCTATAGCCACAACCTACCTGTATCTGTGATTAAAATTTCATAAAATTACATCTTCTTCCCCTTCCCCAAAATAAAACAGAAACTAGGAACGTCTGTATTTCAGTGACTGGTTGTGTACCAACATCACTTTCCTGGTTTTGATCATTGTACATACAATGATCATGTAAGATCTTTGTAATTGGTGAAAGCTAGGGTGAAGAGTGCATAGGAAGTGTGTGCTATTTTTGCAACTTCTTGTGACTCTAAAATTATTTTGAACTAAAAAGGGTTTTTTCCTTCTTTTATTTTTATTTATGGGGGGGTGAGACAGGGTCTCACTATGTAAGTTGAGACTGACCTGGAACTCACTATGTAGCCCAGGCTGGTCTCAAACTCACAGTGATCCTCCTGCCTCAGCCTCCTGAGTGCTGGGATTACAGGCATGTGCCACCACACCCGATAAAGAAGCACTTTAGGGACTGGGGATGTAGCTTCATGTTAGCCCTCCTGCCGAGCAGGCTAAGGCCTTAGGTCATTTCTCAGCGTTGCATAACCAAAACAAAACCCAAAACTCTGTTTTCTGGCCTTATAGAGCTCACATTCTATTTGTCAGTAGAGCTGTGATGTCATCACAGGACATACAATTTCTGGAAAATTCCACAAACTGTTTTATTGGTGGATGCATCTAAGCTCCTGGAAAGATGTGTGGTACTTAGTGAGTACTTAGCAAGTACTGTGGAGTGAAGGAAGTCAGGGCAGATAGAGTTCTGAGGTGATAAAACTATATCATCTACATTGCCTCCTGTGGTAGAAAGATGGACACTAGAATAAAAAAATGAAGAAACAAGATTGTTTAATTTGCAGTATTGCTTAATCCAGAACTCAAAGTATTAGCCCAGTTGTGCTCCTAGAAGCTGCTTTGTCCGTAATTGAAATTGTCCTTCCCTCAAGGGAACATCCTGTTATTGAATGTCCTTAAGAGTATCTTTCAGATCCATGGCACAGGCTACCTCTTTTCAAACCAACAGAGGACCAAGTGGGAAGGGTGTAAACAAGAGGCTTCTGTAAGCAGTGACCCATAGGAGAGGACTGGCCCAGCAACCTGGAAACCCAGAGGCTCCAGGGCATTCAAGATAGGGTGGGATGAAGGCTGAATACTTTGGAGACTTGGAGGGTGGATGATTTTCTCCCTGGAAAGCCATAAGGGTTTGGGCTATGAAATGTCCACATCTATTCCAGTCTGGTAGTTTTTGTTCATCTTCATAAATCCCACCTCTGCTTTCCTCTATTACTTCCATTTGTTTGGTATATTTGTTTCAGTGCGTATACCAGTCCTGGACAGGATTGGCATGTTATTTGTAACTGGAAATCACATTTCCTCAGTTTTTACTTCCTGTCCTTTTTCTGTCCCAGGATCCCCTTCAGGATACCATATTCCACTTAGTCATCTTGGTATGACAATTTCTCATCCTTTCCTTGTTTTCAATGACCTTGACAGTTTTAGGATTACAGGTCAGGTATTCTAGAGAATGTCCACACAGTTAAACTTGATATTTTCCTCTTGAAAATAGCCTGTCAAGAGGAGCACTGCAGAGGGAAATGCCAGTACATTCTACCAACATGACATCACTGACCTTGGTCACCTGGTTGGGTCGTGTTTATCAGTTTCTCTGGTCTAAAGTTCTTTGTTTTTTCCCCATTTCCTACTGGACTCTTTGAAAGGAGGTCACTTTGTGCAGCCCACCCTGAAAGGGTGGGGGGTTGGGTTCTGCTTCTTTAAGGATAGAACATCCTCATAGACTTGGATTCTTCTTCATGGGAGGTGTTTCTGTTCTCTATTTATTTAATCATTTATTTTATCAATATAGACTCATGAGCATTTATTTTATACTTTGGGTTATAAGTCAATACTATAATTCATTTTCTTGTTCAAATTTGTTCTAGCTTTTGCCCTTTCAGTTGGTTCATGTGTCTCTTTGACATACCCTCTCACTGTGTGTGTGTGTGCGTGTGTGTGTGTGTGTTGTAAGTTATATTAAATTGCACTCCTGGCTCATTGTATGTCTGTGATACCCTGATCTGAGAAGCAGCCATTTCTCCAAGGAACCTGGTTCCTTTTATTGGAGAATGGTATTAGAAACCAAGATCTAAGTAATCTTTCTATTTAAAATCAATGAATTAATTTTTTTTATTTCTAAGATGTCTTTAAAGCTCTAAATGGTAGACTTCACCTACACTAATGTCTTCTCTTCAATTAGTTATAATGCCTTGTGTTTACATAGCAATTCCCTGTGAGTTAGTTTTTACTATCCAAAAAATATTAATTACAGTAGATCACCTGAAAAATTTTAAAACCCATGGCTTTTCCCCCTGCTATTTCTGATATTTTTAAATGTCCATAGCATAGTGACATAATATATACTGGGGACTCAGCAACAGTTGGTTGAATTAGAACCCACTTTGCTGGATGTCGGGGTCAGCAAGTCCTTATGTCTGTGCAGAAATGTAGAGGTCTAAGCAGTACTGTTAGACTTAGTCCTTAAGTCTCACCATTTGGGATCTGAGTGAATGCAGACAGCTACTTTTGGGGACCAAGACTGCCTTGCTTGAAGTACCTGAGGTTTTATTCCAGGTTTGGTTTTCTATAGCCAGCACACTTTTTAAATTAACTTCGCATTTTTGGCTTGAAGTAATGAGCCAAGAGATAGAAGCACACTGACCACAGACTTCTGGTAGAGAGCATTCTGTTTCCATGCACCTGGTCTCACAGGTGTCCTTTCACTCCAGGTTTGACAGAGATGGCGATCTTCAGTTGCGAGGCCCACAATGACAAAGGGCTGACTGTGTCCAAGGGTGTGCAGGTCAACATCAAAGGTAAGCAGCATCGCCAGGCCGCTCGAATGTGTTCTAGGGGCTTGTTGGGAGACCAAGGGTGACCTCTTGCAGCCAGTTACCCAGGTCACTTCACCTCTTGGATTTCCATGTTCCCCTCTAGAACATAGAGGTAATTACAGAACCTCCCTATTATTAAGGCTTAATGATTTAATGCAAGTAGAAGATTCATAATGGTGCCCAGCTGGAACATAAATCTTCATAAAACATTGTTGAATTTAATCATGCTTACTCCAAAAATAAAAAAAGCTCAGATGTTTACCTTTGATCATATGAGCTCCTATTTTTACTTTTTCCACCTCACCCTACACTTGTCCTCATACAACTTCCAAGAGCCCTGGGAGTGGGGTCCCTGGGGAGCTTTGATCTCAGGAATAGGCTCCATCCTTTCCGGGTCACCCAGGACTGACACAGTTCTCTGCTAGCTGCTGGCAGAGGGAGGGAGCAAGGCACAGAAAGCAGTTTGCAAGCTCCTTCCGTCTCTCTCCCAATCTGCCTTTTCCTCTGGCTTCCTCTGAGTGTAGATTTCAGTAGGCTTCAGTTTGCTGGGCAATGTGTCACGACAGGATTAAAGGCATAGGTCTGAAAGTCTTCAGCTGGTGGAAGTCCTCATTCTAATCCATCTGCCTTGTCTTCCTCCTCTCCTGTGTCCAAAGATATTTAAACCCTCAACTTGAAAGGAAGACACACAAGCATATAATATCCTTTTATCTCTTTTCATGTCACTCATAGAAATGCAAACACATTTTATGTTTTACTATTTGATCTTAATTTAGATATTGAGAAGAAGGTGTATTAGGTTTGTGTTTTTCTCATCCTTAGCAGTGCAAGGAAGCAGTAGTGTGTTTGATAATATGTTAATATTAAGTTTGGGTGTATGCAGAAAAGTCAAAACTAGGAAAGAAGTTATATTCTAAAAAGTCACTGGAGCTGGGTATGATCATGCATGCCTGTAATCCCAGCGCTCAGGAAGCTGAGCCAAGAGGATCCCTGTGAGTTCAAGGCCATCCTGGGATGAGACCCTGTCTCAAAAACCAAAAAACAAAACAAGGTGCTAGTTTTAGTTTCTGCAGATCAACTAGATGAGAGGTTATGAAAGGGCATTCTCTAAAAGTTCATTGGAATTTTGAAAAAGATGAGCAAACTAAAAGTTAATACTAGAGGAAATGTATAACTTCCTTCCTATGGTACAAATCCCATTATTACAAGTTAACAAGACATGATCGGAATTTCAGAAATTCGTGAGTAGGTGTAAATTTGTACAAGTCTTTTCCTAAAATATAAACTTCTTAAAATTAAAAAAAAATCTATGAAATGAGAAGCATTTCATTTTAGGCTTCACACAGAATCTCAGCTGAGGTTTCTTTTTAAAATAAATTCTGATTCCAAAACTTATGTTCTTTGTTTTCATGTATTATAAAATTTGTACCATAGCCACCAAGACTCCCTTCTAAACTGTTATAGCTATGATGTATATGGTCAGAGTTTGATCTGGAAAAAGCAGATCCTTCACATCAATTTTACAAATAATCTGCTTAGGAAAGTAAGTCCAGCAGTACGCCAAGTGCACCCCACTCACTAGGCTGTGTACTCATTCCCATCTGTCTGCTGTCCCTCAATATAGGGCTTCCATGTCCCAGTTGGGACACCAGCTCTAAGGTGAGGCAGACCTGAGTTCAAGACCCTGTTCTATTGCTTATGACCTCTCTGGGACCTTTGGCACATTTTAAACTCTTCTGCACAGTTCCTTCATCTGTAAATAGGGCTTGCAAGACTCCCTCTCTAACAGGGTTCTGTAATGATTCTACGAAGTCCCTACAGAGTCTGGCACAGGGTAAGCACACAAGAACATCAGCCATTATTTTTACCGTAAGTGGAATTATTATGAACAATTAAAGAGATAAGATTCCCCAAACTTTTGATGCTTCTTAGATTCTAGCTGAAATCACTTTCTTTGTCCAACACGCAACTGAGGTCAGTGCTCACTCACTGTACCTGAGCACCCCTTACCCAGTGGGTGCAGGTGGCTTTTGCTTGAACTCTCACCTGTTTCCTAGGTTTAGAAAGCTCTTTCTCTCTCTCTCTCCTTCTCCCCTCCCCCTCCCTCCCTCTCCTTCCCTCCTGTGACATCTGGTCTTCTGTGAGTCTCTCCCATTGGGCCAGCTGCTTCACAAGGGCAAGAGGGCTATGGCTCTTGGTCCCTGTTTAATTACATTAGCGTCCAGCCATGAGGCTACACATAGCAGGGTGAAGAATATGGGCTCCATGAGGGACATGGACGTCTCCAAATCCTTCTCTAGTTAAAGGTGTCTTCACTTCATCAATGAGCATGAAAGTGGGTCTGTAGCCCTCTTTTGGGGCCCAGGCACAAACATCACCTTGTTGGAATACTTCTCTCCAGACCAGTGCCATTAGCCTCAAGCCTTAAGTGGTACCTCTTGGAAATATGTGTTCCCTTTTGCTGATCTCAGGGCACAAAACAGGTGCAGTATTAATGCATTTGTTTGGCAGGTAGGACTTCCTGCGGCATATAATTGTGTTTGCATGTGTGCATCTTTGTTTTTATGTAGCAATTCCCTCCCCACCGAGCAAAGTCCACATCCGCAACAGTACAGCGCACAGCATTCTGATCTCCTGGGTCCCTGGTTTTGATGGCTACTCCCCATTCAGGAACTGCAGCATTCAGGTAAACCTCCCGGGTGAAGAGGAAAGGAGGTGGTCTGGGAGGTCTGGGAGGCTTCCTGGTTTTTCTTGTTCCTCAGAACAAGCACAGAGGTCATTTGTCCTCTTCTGTCCAGAATCCCTTGACCTCCCCATTGTCCACTATTGTGCACAGTTTTGTGATGCCCTGTCCATAGTGCTGCTTCCTTCACTCGTGGTCCAGGGCCCAACCAGAAGAGGGGCATGTTTCCAAGGAAAAATAGGGAGAACTAATCTTTAATTACAAAAACATATTCCTAAAGGAGGGCTGACTTGTGACCGAGACTTCAGGAGACGAGGCATTCCTCAGTGTGGCTCATCTTGGACTAGTGCCGTGAGGGACAGAGATAGGACAGGGATGCGACAAAGGTGGGTTACACATCACACCTGAGCCAGGGTCTCCCAGGGAAACTAGGGATTATAGGCTTTACGGTCTTCGACCATTTTTAGCTACCAAATACCTAAAACTGGTGTGAGACAGTGCTGACAGAAATGTAGGTTAGACACCCTCCCGTAACACCTTGTCATGATGTAAGCATTGCTCTTGAGTGTGCCTTTGATAAAAATGGAAATAGTGACAGTGACCAACTATTCACTGTAGAGGGCCTACAGCAGCCCCAGACTGCAAACATTCTCTCACTTAAAGCACACCTGCACTGCAGGCTCAGACGCTCACAGCCTGTGAGTGGCAGAGCAGAAGCCAGCTCTGCAGCCAGGAGACACAGCCTGTGTGGGAGTAGGTTACCAAATACGCAGGCATAATGTGCTGAAAATAGGAATGTATTTTGTCTTGCACTTTATCCTGCAGGAAGGACAGGAATGCTCTTAGGTTCCTAAATATCTAGTCTTGTTAGTTAAAAGCATGTTAGCGTGGGCCAAGTATGGTGGCACACATCTGTAATCCCAGCACTAGGAAGTTGATTCAGGAAGATCACAACTGAGTGACACCCTGGCTCACGATGAAAAATAAAAAAGGGCTGAGGATGTAGTTCAGTATGAAGGTCGAAGGTTCAATTCCTAGTACTTCAAGCAAAATAAACATAGACATTAACCTAACATAGGCCAGTTATGCCAGCTCTTAGAAAAATGACTTCCAAAGAATTTCATGTTGACAACCAGATGTTTTTAATACCAAATGCAATTAATTTCTCTGATCTTAATGCCTCCTACTCTTATCTAACAGCTGTTCCTTGTCTCAGGAATAAAAGCATGCATTATCCCTAAAATAGCCTCCACCCTGACCCCCACCATCTCCACCCTTGGTTAATTCTTGCTCAACTTTATTTGTAAACTTCCCAAATACTAGTAAGTGTAAGGAATTCTTATACTTGTGATTCCTCACCAGGGCTATCTTTCTTTTTTAAAAACACTTTTTGAAAATATATATATTTCACATACTGCAACATTCATCCATTTAATGGCAATTCAGGCTGGGCATAGTGGTGCAAGCCTGTAATCCCAGCACTCAGGAGGCTGAGGCAGAAGGATCTCCATGAGTTCAAGGCCAGTCTGACCTACACAGTGAATTCAAGGGCAGCCTGGACTATCTAGTGAAACCCTTTCTCAAAAAACAGTGAATGAATGAATGAATGAATGAAATTAAGTGCAATTCGATCGTTTTTACATTATTCAGGGAGTTTTGCACTGGCACTTCAGTCTGTTCCTTCTTGAGTCAGTTTTGATAGTTCGGGTGTTTCTAGGAATTTGATCGTTTCATCTAAGTTATCTAATTTGTTGGTATACAGTTCATAGTATTCCTTTGCAATCCTTTCATTTCTTTCAGGTTAATATTAATGTCTCCTTTTTCATTCTTGATGTTAGTAATTTGTGTCTCCTCTTTTATTTTTTTCATCAGTCTAGCTGACACTTGTGCAAGTTTTATTCATCTTTTTTAACAAGTAACTTTTGAGTTTAAATTTTTTTTTGTTTTTTTTTTTTTTTTTGTACCAGGGATCAAACTCAGGACCTTGCGCTTGTGAGGCAGACAGCAGAACCACTGAGCTAAATCCCCTGTCCCCAGAGCTTTAAATTTCTTTCTCCTGTCTCTTCATTTCTATCTTAGTCTGCATTTTATTCTATTTACTTTGGCTTAATTTACTCATCTTCTAGTTTCCTAATATATAATATTATTGATTTTAGATTTCTTTTTAAACATAGGCATCTTCATATTTCCCTCTAAGTAGCTGCATCCCATAAGGTTTTGTTTTGTTGTGTTTTTATTCATCTCAAGGTTTTGTTTTGTTTTTGTCTTTTTTCTTATGATTTTTTTCTTTGTCCATTTTAGTTATTTAGGACTATGTTGTTTAGTTTCCACATAGTTGTAAATTTTTCAAGTTTTCTTCCTTTGTTGGTTTCCCATTGTGTCTGGAGAATATCGTCAGTATGATTTCAGTCCCATTAAACTTACTAAGGCTTGTTTTATGGTGTAGCATGTGTTCTATCCTGAAGATTGTTTCCCAGGCACTTGAAAAGAAAATATATTCCACTATAGTTGGGTGTAGTGTTCTGTGTGTGTTGGTTGGTTTTAGTTGGTTCATAGTCTTCTGTACCTTCTGGTCTTCTGCAGATTGTTTCTACCTGTAATTAAAAGTAGAGAGTTGAGGTCTTATTTCTGGACTATTTCTCCCTTTATTCTATCAGTTTTTGCTCTGCTTATTTTGGAGCGCTATTGTTGGGAACAAGCAGGGCCTGGTGATAGGCATTTATACAAATGGACACAATTAAAGTATGGACCAGCCCTTTTACAAACTGTCACTGTGTTGCTGAGCTGTTTGAGACATCTAAGAGGACACAATATGCCTTCCCACATGGAAATGGTTACTGCAAGGAGACTGAAGAAGAATACCCCCAACACCTTGAGAGACTGGCTTTCAAGATAGACAAGAGGTGGGAAAGGATGGCTGGGAGGTTTGAGAACACCAGGTCAACCAAAGGTGGAATATTATCACACACAAGCTTCACCTGTTTCCTCTATCTTCGCTATGGCTTTGGGTAGCCATGCCCTAAATTACAGGCCCCTCTGACCTCAGATCCTTTGGTGCTGGATGTGGTCATTCTGTCTTTGCTCCACCTACTAGTTCAATCCTCCCCTTCATTCCTTCTCCTTTCCGTGTCTGGTAAAATGGCTAGATTTAGTAAATAAGAATCAGGACACCAAGGTAAATTACACAAGTACTCTTGTGATGTAGTTACACTAAAAAATGTGTTATCTATTGGAAATTCGTATTTAACTGAGTATCCTATATATTTTTTAGAAGTTATACTTTGATAGTCTTGATTAATCCTGTTTTTTCATTCCTGAAAAGACCAAGTATGGCCCTGTAGTTCATTATAATTTTAAACTCTGACTTGGTAATGAACGAATGCTTTGGCTGAGATTCAGAGCCACACACTGGCAGGACACACCCTCTTGCTTCCTGTGGTCCTGACGTTAGTTCCTTTCTTCGCCCATTTTTTGGGCCACACATTCCATTTCTATTTTTAGCCCTCCTGCATACTTCTTGCCATTTCATGCTCTCTTTTCCCCAGGACCCACAGAGAAGGACTGTGACTGAAATTCCATCTTCTTCCAGGAACATGTTCTTTAAGAGCATCACTGGAGATGCCCACATGGGGCCCTGGAACTGGGATGGGAGCAGACAGCCAAAGCTCTCCTCCACCTAAGCTTTAGTGGCTGTTCACCAGGGAGTAGGTGCACACTCTAATGTGAAGAAACAAAGAGCAGTTTCTGACAACAGCCACCCCCAAGATAAGCAGATGGCCCTTGTTTCTCCTCTAGTGACTCCTTAGGCCAACTGATACCTTCCGGTCACTCACAGGGTCTGTCTGAGTGAGAGGTGGAACTTGGACCCAACACCACCTTCATGGCATCTACCAGAGAACATGCAGTTCCAAAATGTTTATTTATGGCACCTTTCCCTAGATTTCAAACATATTTATTCCCAAATAACAGTATTGTGTTGCCACACTCCATAACTGCATACCCACTAGTAAAGGGAATACATTTTGTGGGCTGAAGATTTTTTCCCCCAAAATTGCTTTAGGTTTCTTCTGTTTTACCCAGTACTGTCTAGTCTCTTCTGATTTCATGAGTACTATATATTATAGAAATTTTTGAAAACCAGGTATTGTGGGAATATTCCCAAACTCTCTCCTAACACCATTCCTTAACAGGAAGTGTGCTTAAGAAAAAAGGTAGAAATTTGGCGTAGGACTAGGTTTTTGCTGGGTATCCCTCTCACTTGCCTATGCATACAGATATTTGGAGAGAGATGTGAAGGGACTTTACATAAGTTTGGGGTGGGAAAGGTAAGGAAATATACATTTAACGAAGTTTGGAGGAAAGTTTGCTGGATGAGTTATAAACGCCACTTTTGTTTCCTAATGTCATAAAATATACTTTAACTGTGTGTGCTGCTGGAGTTGAATTTCTACCATAGTTGAGCAGGGTGATAACATATGATGCTACTAATTAGTCTCAAGATGAAAGTAGAGATTCTCAGGTTACACTATGAAAAGAAAATAGATTTTAGCCGGGCACGGTGGCGCATGCCTGTAATCCCAGCATTTAGGAGGCTGAGGCAGGAGGATCGCTGTGAGTTCGAGACCAGCCTGGACTACATAGTGAGTTCCAGGTCAGTCTCAACTATAGAGTGAGACCCTGTCTCAAAAAAAGAAAGAAAGAAA